ATAACTTTGTGCCATTTACCTTTACTGAGTCTCATTTTTCTCATCTACAAAAAGAATACTAAGTATCTCTTGTTATGCCATCATTCTTAGCAATAAGTGAATTTATGTAAATGAAAGAGCAGTTTTCCTGGAAAGACAATTAGAAATGGTGATATGACACCACATGTACCAATATACACCTGTTCTTCCCAGTTGTGGCACAAACTATTTGAGTGACCTTGAATAAATGTTGTCACCTGTCTGCCACTTTTGTACAGCTGTAGAAAGAAAAGTTAGGACTATAAAGCATTTCATCTACATTGTTCTAACACTCTTTCATTATTCAGCCTAAAAATAATAATACTACTTCAAGCTCCAAGATATTAGGGATTTTAGTTTGTTTTCTTCACCGCAATACCCCCAGTGCCTGGAAGAGTGGCTGGCACACACTAAGTGCCCAGTTACATATCTGTTAAAAGAATGAACCCAGCAAATTTGCATAAAAGCAAACTTTGCTGTAACATAGTACTTCAAGATATGTCCAGAATAAAAAATAAAGGAAAAGTTCAAATTACTGCCATGAGGCATGCACACACATGCACACACACACACACACACACACTCATACACTATCATGCAGTCTATCTCATATACATGACTAAAAAGCACATACTGAAGTCCAAATGCTGTGCCCTAGTTAAGGTGAAGTACTCAAACAAAACCTAGGAAGTAAAAATCTCAGCAGGTAATAACATACTTTTTTTAAAATAAAGACTCTTCCTGAGACAAAAGAAAATCCTGATGCTTGTGCAATATTAAAAGTAACTCTACAATAGTGTCAACATTAGACTGGTGACTTAAATGAGTGAGGAGTATCAGGTGGGAACTGAGCCAAAAGGAATATTTGCTTACTTTCTTAAAACAGCAGTCTTTACTCAGCTTTGGGCTGTTAAGGTGATAGGAAGCTGTTAGCTCCAGATTTCTGAAACTTCCAACTAAAGCTGAAAATTCAGATTTTATATGAAGTCTCCCAAACTTTAAGTGGTGACAGTGAATTCACCTGGAGATACTTATATGCAAACAAACAAACAAACAAAATACCTGATGCATTGGTGGATATCTTAGCATGAGGAGAACAGAAATGCAATAAAAGGTCAAAGGAAGAATGTTTAATTCTACTCTCAGTCTCACTTAATACAAAACTATGCCTCACTTTATAAGTTAAAAAATCAATAAAATAAGTTAGCCTTCAAATAAATATTTACTGAAGTTCTGTTATATAGCAAGACTTAAACCAAGTTTCAGAAACACTGGGTGGTGGTCAATATTAGATAGCTAAGAGAAGTCTAGAAGCTTACATGCATGGAAAAAGTATTATAAGAGCAATGATGATTCAAAGAAGGGTAAGGAACGTATGCATACTGACAAGGGATGAATAGCAGTGTGCTCCTAAGCACTTGCCCAATTCTTAGACATAGATTTGGGGGAGTGTTTTTGATCAGTTTAATAAATAAAATAAAACAACTTCATTCCTAAGGCCTGACAGTCAGGAACATGTTCTGAAAATAAATATTCTTCCTTACTTAGAATAATAAAGGCTTTTGGCCTGGGAGCACACCAAGTCAGATCAAATCAAGATGTCCTTACAACAGCAGTCTTTGGGAGCTATCAGATCAAATAATGACAATTCTGTGGGATCAAGTCTTTGAAGAATGCCCTACCCCATTCTGCCCCTCTGGTACCTGCCAGCCTGCTGATTTTCACCATGGCAGGTGTTTCATTTTTTCAAGGCTACCTCAAAGCTGCAAAAGTGGGAAAGGACAAAGGTCACCTTAAAACGCTGCAAGTTTGCTGTTCTAACAATATTCAGAAATTTTTCCTGAATAAATGTTCCCTGGACAGCTCCAAGATGTCGGTTAATTTTCAGAGTTCTGAAAAGTTAATTCTAACAATGTTTGCCAGTCTCTCATGGCTTTTGTGGAAGAGAAAATTTTCAGAGGCCCTGATTCCATAATTTTTGCTGACAACACTCTGATGATCTATTTTCATCTAGAATTAGATTGCTTATTTAATCATAGGTGACAAAGCCTAACAATATATTCAAAGTATATATCCTTATTGCTTATACTTTAAACAGTCATTTTCTTTAAAATATAATTTAAAAATTTCCTTAATTTTTGTATTTGACTGGCATAATACAAAATATAACACCTGTGTGTTACCTTGAAGAAGGGGCTGGGGTGGGTGGGTGAGAAGAGTGAGTGGGATAAAAGGGCACAAAAATTCTCAATCATAATATAAATTGGTCACAGGGATGGTAGTACAGCATGGAGAACATAGCCAATTTTCTGTAACATCTTACTGTGTTGACAGATAGTAACCACACAAGTTGGGGTGATGATTTAATAATGTGGGTATCTGTTGAACCACTGTGTTGTATACTTGAAACCAATATAAGATTGTATGCCAACTATACTGCAATTGAAAAAAAAGATAAATATAGTATCTTAACTAAAAGTCTATATTAAAGACATTTATCTGATTAAATACAGGGAAGTAAAATATGTGTGTGTGTGTGTGTGTATACATATATGTATATAACACCTGTATTCCACACATAATCCTCATTCTTGGACAAGTGCACATTCACCAAGTTCCTCTAAATTAATTTCCTTTTCTTAACATTAACATTAGGCATAACTATTACAGAGGAAACATGGCTCAAAAAATGACAAAAATTTTGAAAAAAATTTCATTGAAACATTGAACAAAATCAACACTATGTTAACATTATAATAAGAGTAAAAAAGCATGTTGTTAGAATTTTTGTAAAGCACTCATTCCTGATACAAAGGGATTATGTTTTTATGAGAAAATCAACTATACTTTTTATAGAAATCATATACAGAATTAGTGATTTCCCCTTAAATTTCTAACTGCAAGAGCAACTACAGAATCAGATTTACCCTTGCAGATACACTCTGTCTTTTCTGAATAACTTCTGAATAAAAATAGAAGAAACACAGAAAATATATCAGTCATGGGGATGAAACGTGCAGCAATAAGGAACAGAGCCAGTAATACTGTAACAACTTTTTGTATGTTAGCAGATGGTAACTATATTTATTGTGGTAAGCATTTTGCAAAGTATATAATTGTTAAATCACTATGTTGTCCACCTTAAATCAATATAATATTGTTTGTCAACTGTAGTTCAATAAAAAAGGGGGGGAAACAAAACTAAATTCAAGGAAAAATGACATATTTTCTCAGCTTTTTAATAAAACTAATTTTAAACCAACATGTCAGCCATCTTCTCCAAAAGTCCATTTAAAATATTTATGTAAAAAATAAATTTTAGTGTGTGAAAAAAAGTAGAGTACAAAATCTATCTATAGGTTCCCACAGATGTGTATTAACCATTTATCTATTTGTACAGGGGTGATGATAGATGAAAGAAAGAAAAGAAAAAGGTGTGGGGTGAGGGGAGGAAAAAGAAAGAAAGGAGGAAGAAAGAGCCTAAGAAAGAGAGAAGAGAGACCAGCTAAAGGAATATATGCCATTTTGTTGGCACTGGTGTGTTCTAATACCTTAAAAATCTACTACTACTACTTATAGCTCTAAATACAACCATAGTTGTTAACAACCAGAAATACCAAGTGAAGGAAAGAAGAGCCAGCACATTAAGATTAGGAACATTAACATGTAAACTGTTACAAATTAGAATGACTGAAGCTACTTCTTTTACTTCCATAGTAACATTCCTAGTAAAGGACTAATTAACACAACTTGTTTTCTCATCAATTTGAAAAAAAGTCAAGTTTCAGCTATTCTGGTTGTTATAATATTTGAATTAAGATGAAAATGATCTTCAAAGTCATATGAAAAATTATGTGCATAATTTTCTAAATTAACTGCATATGTACACTGTATTATAAACTTTCAAGAATTCAAATCATTTAATTTTTTTTCTTAAAATGGAGAATTGAAAAATATTATTTGTCTTTGTCACAGAGGATTCTATGATGAATTTGGGTAGTTTTAGCTTGAAAATTATAAAACTGCTTACACTTGTTAGACAGCAATTACTAAAAGTTACTAGATAAAAATCTCTCAAAATCTGAGTACTTTTTAATATAACAGACATGCAATATAGTTAATATTTTCTGTGTAAAATAAATATTTTATGCCATAATATTTAAGTTCTCATTTTCCTTCTGATAATATGGATGTGTGCTTTTAATTAAGCAGAAAGTAATGGAATACTTTTAAATATCTAATATATTAAGATTGTTAGATTATAAATACTTTACTACACACATTGTTACAAAAGTAGCTTACCTAGTTTTCACCCAGAAGACTTCATTTTTAATGTGCCCCAGTAAAATAATTTTCTAATGAAAACAATAGTTGATAATAAATATCTTCCAGGGAAGCACCTTTCCTGAAAGTTTTCAATTAAGAAAAATTCAGGAATTGAATTTTTGAATGATGACTGATCTGACAGTCTTAGAATCTGTGAACCTCAAGGAATTTAAAGGAATTTCTTATCATCTTTTCATCCCTAGTGTAGTGAATGAAATGTAAAATAAATCAATCCCAGTGTTTGAATCAACACTGACATGTCAACTATTATTTCCTACTCAATAGAACCAGGATAATGATAAATTAGCAACAAATCAAATACATTTTTTATTTAAACTTATAAACCAACTCTAAAAGGTTGTTGGTGGCTTCCATCTGAAATTCTCCTGCGTACTGCAGGAAGCTTCACATTTCCTTATGGAGAAACACCAAGGAGGAAAGTAATTGTTACTCAGTCATCAAAATCCCTTCCCTATTTGTCTTCTTTCCCTGGTCAGAGCTAATCAGTAGTCTCCTCCCTCCTCCCACTCCCCACCCTTCCCACCCTCCCCACCTTAACCACAAATATGTCCAGTGAATTTTCAATCATACATGCCATTTAACACGGTGTCAACTAAAGTAGCTTAAGTTGTAGGGACAAGTTTATAGAAGCTTACCCCATTTTTTGGAAAAGCAATCCATCCCAGGTCCCCCATGACAGTACGTGAATCCAATAAATTTACTGAAAGAGAAAGAACACAAAACTAAGTCAAACATACAGAAATTCACCACTATTTTCATAATGATGTTAAAAGTGCACATTGCTTACATAACTGAAATCAAACTTTCATGATGATGAATGTTTAATTCACCATTAATTAATTCAACATTAATTCATCATTAAGAAATTATAAAAATTTTATAATTTTAAGAAATACTGTTTGGATGCAAGAGGATAAGTGATTTTGAATAAACATCTGGAGAAAAATTACAGTAAAACTATATAAACAAGTCATTACCTTAAGTGTTTTGGGTTATTTTTGCTCAAACAAGAATAAAGGAAAAGAATAAATAAGAGAAAGAAAAAAGTGAAAGATCCATAGAAAACTGTAAAGGCCATGCTGCTTCTACATAGGCTCTAGGTCTTGGAATTAAGCTACAATGATAAAATTGTGGCTAAAGGTATTTTCTTCTGGAAAGCTATTATGAAGCAATGAACAAATAACTTACATTAAACAGCAATAAACTATTCCCAAGCTTGTAACATTTTTTTGTGATATTAACTGAAATCTGTAATCCAAATTGCAAGTTTAATTAAGAAATAAATCTATACACCCTTAACCAAGCCAAGGACATTGTAGCAGCTCTCAGGGTCGTTGCTATAGTTAAGTGTCCATTGCATTCTCAAATATACCTTCTACTTATACATAACCTAGTCTAAAATGTGCTTCTCAAAGAATGATCAGCTACATTTTTGAAAGGCAGTCCTCAATTATGGCTGGATATCCTAGAACATTTGGAGCTCACAGGATTGGAGTTTGAATATCACCATTGTGAAGGAAGCCATAAAAGAATATGTACACAGGTCTGCACTCACACTCACACACTCACACATGCATACATACATACACATGGTGTTGACATTTCAACACATTCACCTACTGTTCTCCCCCAATTTAACTACTTTAAAGGGTCCTGTGTAGTCAAAATACTTTAGACCTACATCACAGTTCTTTTCAGCCTATTATGCCTAACCCAAATGGACCTACCTGGCCCACTGTGCAACTGAACCACTGTGAGTACAGCATATGGACCCAAAAGGGAAACTGGATTGTCCCTAGGCAGAGTTACTGAAGCTTCCTTAAACCACACTCAGGAGCCAGTGCCTTGAGATGGCAGCAATTTAAAAGGATGATTCTAACTACAAGTATAAGCCTGGGGTACCACAGGAATACAAGTTGATAGGCTAAGAAATGTGTTATAACACTTCTTTGAGAGAACAAAAGATAAATTATGATCCAGGAAATCAGGATCACAATTGAAACAAATTTTTTTCTTTTTTTTATATCTTATTTATAGTTGCAAACACATATCTGAGATAATCTATAGTATCAGTAATATAAATTAAAAACTTGAAAGTTTTAGAAAACTCAATATGATATGTGTGTGTGTGAATATACACTTAGCCTATTTCCTCCTTAAGTTCTAAGCTCTTTAAATGTAAAAATGCACACCTATAAAATATGTGCATCATCTTCAGCCTACACACATCATATTGGTTTTTGGGATAACAAATAATTTGTAGAATTATTTTTTTTAGAGAAATTAACCTACCTGAAAAACTATTATTTAACATAGTAAAAACAAAAACCAACCAAAAAGTGACCCACTACCCACTGACCTTGCAAATCTGCCAGTCACCCCATTAAATCTAATTTATTTTTTTAGAGAAATTAACCTACCTGAAAAACTATTATTTAACATAGTAAAAACAAAAACCAACCAAAAAGTGACCCACTACCCACTGACCTTGCAAATCTGCCAGTCACCCCATTAAATCTAATTTTTCAGCTAGACCCATACTCTTTTTCTTTTTACTCTATTGTTGGCTTTTCTGATCTCCATGGGAATAAGGCTATATTAAACTTAAATGTCCTTGTCCTCATTTTAGTCTTTTTCTGGGACACTAGGGCTGTGTCTAGACATGACTAAATACCAGGGGAGTATAGAACCTAAATCATTATGTTTGTTCATCTTTATGATTCATTTGGTTCACCTTTGATATTGAACAGCAGCTTATCTGTGTAGACTAGATAAAGTAGAGCAAATTAGTAAAGTAAAGACTTTCTGCTATGATGACAGTCAAACTGAACTTAATCCTGTGGAAACAAACTGATGTGCATAGGAGTTGTAGAAATTCATAACTAGCTTGCCATGAGAAGCACAGCTTTACTGTAGATCTCTTATTTATGTGGATCTTGAAATATTTATTATTACCAATAAGAATCTTTTTAAAATTTAGTAACCCTCACTAGAATTAACTTTAAATTACTATTTTTACGCTTTTCTGGTTTAAATATATATGTGTGTGAAAGCAACACACAAATAGTAGTTTGGCTATTAATATAATTTATTGGGGATTTTCAATACTGGAATACATTACTAAATGCAGGAAAATAACCACAATAGGAATGTAAGCTATTTTTTTAATGATTTGTTCAAAAGGTTTTCTTCAGATAAATAGATTAGAAGTTTATAGGAAATACAGGTATGTCACTACCGGCTAAAATTGCTTTCCTCTTGGAAACAGAATATTTCATAAAATTCACAATGCAAATGAGATATTTATGTAACATTACTAAGTTGGCATTTGAGAAAAAACAAAATGAGATGTTTTAGGCAATTACAGATTGCTATATTATAATTTTCTTAATATAATGCATAGAAAATTGAGATTGATGCCTCAGGAAAAAAATATATATATATGTGGATCTAGACAGATAGAGAGGGAAAGAGAAAGAGCTAGTTTTCTTACAATTTCATGTTTTAGACATGCTGCTCTAGCTGTCTCAAATGTCCTTTCCTCTTTCTGAACTATTAACCCTTCATTTGCCCCAGAGAACATATTTCAAGAACTGCTTTCTCCAGGAAGCCATCTCTGATTCTCCCTTTCCTAAATCTAGGTAAGGTATTATTAATGAATAAAATATTAGCATCCAATTCTTATCTCAAAAATGCTGAATATACATAATTGTGTTGTCTCTTCAAGAGAAAACCGTATTTGACATGCCAATGAAACTAGCCTGTGCTCAGAAGAGTTAAAGAGCTTTCTGTCTTACGAATGAATCATTTGGTCAAGGGACAGATCAGGAGGGTGTCTGAATCAACATACACCAGTGGTTCTCAACATGGACACGAGCAATATCTAGAGACATTTTTGACTGTCAAAACTGGAGGACGGGCGATCTGGCACTGGCATCTCATGGGAAGAAGCCAGGCGTGCAGCTAAGCATCCCTCAGTGTCCAGCAAACAATCCCACTCCATCCCCTCCCACCCACAAGCTACCCCAGGAAACAATTACCTGGCTCAAATTTCACTAGTGCCAAAGTTAAGAAACCTTGGTATTCACGTATGATGCTACCAGAAAAATGTCTGTTTTCACAGTCTTTGTAAGTACATTAGTAGTAGCATGATCTTCATTAAAAGAACTGAGCATCTTTGGAGGCATTCCTTATTACTCAAAGTACTATTCCTATAAGAAAATAAAAGTAGTAAAAACTGAAGTCTCATTTAGGGGAAAAAATATAGTGTTCTTATTACCCAACACCCTTATTTTTTCACATGACCAATATTATGCATATTCTTATTTATGCTCCAATAATCTCTCAACATTTATGCTGGCATAAATGAAAAAGCACTATGTCACTAATATTATTAATGCTTCCATTTCCCCCTCTACTTAGGTTGGTTACATAAAAAAACAGAAGTTTAGAAATAGGGTGTATATAAATGTGAATGGTCAGAAGTTCATTTGCTAATTTTATGACTGAATTTATTAAAAGGGAGATTGACAGTAATGGAGCACAGTCACTAAGTTCTTCTGTGCAACAATTACAGTAATTAAATTGTTCTAAACAGTATATATGCTTGGTGTAAGTTGCAATGAATACACAATGAGTATTGATCTTCATTGTACAACTTAATTAAAACTTGTCTGGGAGAAGCCACTAATGAATATAATTAGAGGAAATGTTTGATACCACAGTTACTCTGGAAGACATTAATTAGGTATCAGAAATTTTATGGAAAATGTTTTTATTCTATTATTTATATTTTAAAAGAAAGCTGCACTATTAAACTGAGAGACAGCTTTCAAGGTCATTTTCCCTCAGCTATTGTATAATTACAGTGAAGATGGGCATATTGGTTGGTATTCTAATCAGTAATTAAGAAGACTGATTCTCTAGGAGAAATAACTCTACAGAGGTCATGTAGTCTATTACACATTCCTCAAGTTAATAAAGGGAAAAAGAGACACACTAATACAGGAACTTTTTAATAAGTAAAAATAATTTAACTGTCTGCCAACCAAATAATAGATTATAAGAAAAACTAATTCAAACTAATTTTAAGTATGCTTTAATTTTATTACTACATACTAATAATTGTAATGTTTTCTTGAACAAACAGAGAAAAGCTTTTAAAGAAAAGCCAGAGGTGCTAACTCACTCTTTCTTGTTGGGATTCAAGGTGGGGCAGCAAAAGGACAGAATGTATAAAATGGAATATGCATAAGAAGACTTCAAGTCTCAACTTCACACATTCTAACAACAAAAGATTAATTGGCATTAATAATTTAAATATGTTCTTCAATGATTTTAACTTTCAAATATTCATAACTTTCTATATATCACTTTGACTCCATTGCCTACTCTTCAACATCTTGCTAGCAAAAAGCAGGAAAAAATTATTTGATTTCACAAGGAAAATGATATACTGGGATGAACGTATCTGAGACTTTGAAAAGTCAAAAGATGTCTCAAGGACACTTGATCCCACCACCATCACTGGGCAGGACCTTAAGAGAATAATCCTTGATGACACGAAGGTGAAGTAGAGAGCTGGAAGACATATCCTTACTCTATTGTTTCTGTTTTTCCCCATTATTATCACATTAACAAACACACACAATTGTCCTAGTAGTTGGACCTCTACCACAGTAGGAAGAGAGAATAATTTGG